AAGATTTATCTTAGTCAGTTTTTCTTCAACTTTACTTAATGGAAACTCCTAACAATCCAAACTTTCTACATATTCTTTTCCACCTACAGTAACTGCTTTAATTCAGTACTACCTACTGAAGTGGGGTACTCTCTTGAATAGTAAGTGTGTTTCACAAAAATTGCTTTCACTTCGCATTTCAATGTGTAAGCAAAGGCAACTTCTACAAAGTACTAGCACTCCTTGTGCAGCCTGAGACATACATAACCCATGGTACAAATCTTGCAGTGCCATTTATGTTACATCAGTTAAAGTATATTAACTGTATGGTCAAATGACAGAGTACAGTGCTGACCAGACCTTATTTCTCTTGTGCCAGAGACAGAGCAACAAAGCTTGTGTACTTACTGACAAGAACAACAAAAGTTGCTTCACAGAAGCTGCAGCCTGTTGGGGCTGTGCAACTGAAAAGCATTTTAGGTTAAAATCCTACTAAGCTAGAAGTCAAGAATGCTGTAGAGATAGCTTTAAGAATGGAAGGAAAATGGAAGAAGGAAGAAAGATGGAAAGATTTCAATCAATTAAAAGAACAAATGACAATGGGACACAAATTTCTGAGAAGGCAGAGTGTCTAAGTCCAGTGCATATTAAAAGCTCTGAAAGAAGTTTGTGTCATGACTTCCTGTTTGAATCTGTGACAATCCTCAAAATTTCAGGTTTTCACACTAGTTTCAGTGCTCAACAATAAAGCCGTAAGGCATAAGCATCTAACAACTTTGTGGCCAATAAAGCAACTCAGCCAATAAGGAGGAAAGGAAGTGCATCACTAATCTGACACTAAATATACACAACTTTTAACAGGATTAGCTATTGGCTAACTAGAAATACTGCAGTCTGAGTCCCCTTTCACTACCCACCAGTTGTTCTTCAAATGTTGATAGGTTATGTAAAAGATTAAAGGATAACTGTCAATAACTTTCTAGGGAGTGACCATAAAAATTACTGACATATTTACTCAAGTTAAAATTGCAAGTTAATAATAGTTATTCTACATGTATGTGAACTCTGAGCGAAGTTATGGCAGCACTGAGGAATTTAAGTATGAATTCAGCATTTTACATAATAACGTAAATTATGTTAAATATTTTTATTCTAACCCATATTTTGTTACTGAAGTTCATGCAAAGAATGAGTTCCATACAAGTAGAGTATGCACAGAGCAGAAGTCTACAACACAAGTCTTGTTACAATGTTCTCAAAGCTCCAGCTTTTGCCTGTTTGCTCTCCTGAAGTGTTCAAATACAAGTTTAAAACTTGTATTTGACTGTGAAGTAGTCAATATACAATTCAGCTTACCATACTACAGAAACCCAATGGTTCGGTATTAGAGGAGTCAGGCAGGTATTTTGTTAGAACATGCCAAAAATCCAATATAGCAATTTCATTTATAGTTATTTTACTTTATTTGAAAGGTAAGAAGAGAGGCATAATCTTTTTCTGTGTAATTTACCTTGTACATTTAATAGCAATGTGCCTAATTGGTTCACTTTTGGATGCCATACTACCAGTTTCCAGTATGTGCCTTTTTACTCAGTAACAGGAACACAACAACTTGAATTTGCTATGAATAAGTCTTCTTATAATACGATTTGAAGACTGACCGTAGCATCACTATTCCCAGATGAGTAATAAAAGCAGCTGAAATTTATCCTTTAGGCTGCAAGCTACACAATATTCAAGACGTAAAATTTTCAGCTCAGAAAAGGAAGATCAAAATTTATCAACAGACTCAGATTACAAAGGGCAATCAGTTGGAAGTTTTTAAAAGTATAAACAAAACTTTTAAAAAATAAAATTAATCAGCTTAATTTATATGCAGAGTTCTGATACGTAGCTGATTTAAATTACCACACTGGAATGTGCGAGAGAAGTATCTGAAATCTGAGTGTCAAACTTTCCTCCACTACAAAGTGAAGAGGTGTCACAGCAGCAGCCTGTTGCACCTGTGCCATAGTAACTGCCCCCCCTGCCTTTTAGTGGAGAGGATTCAGCTTTACACCCTGGGCAGCAACAGTGACCTCTCTTTGCTGTTCTCTGGTGTTCCTCACTGGTGTCCTAGGTTTGCCCTGTCCCTGGCTACTAGCCTGGCTTGCAAACACTGGTGGAACAGTAGACCTTTCACTGGAACTCTGCAATTACGATGGATTGTTGTTGCCACATCTTGATACCATCACCATCTGATGGATCATATCACAGGACAGAATTAAAGTATCTAGCTCCTCTGGGTTCTACTGGTACAGAAACACACACATTCAGATTGCTGGACAAAGACATGAAATAGTGTTTATCAGAAGGCCAGAACATGGACTTAGTTTGCAGCTAATTATATTCAATATAGAATCTGTTCATTATTTTGTTCCATCCTTCAGAAGGAGAACCTGCAATTCGTCTGATGTGAACTTTTGTAAAAAAGCAGTACTGGAGAGAAAAAAAAGTTCAGTAAGCAGAATCAACATTGATGGCCATGCAAAGACATTTAATCTTGTTTCACACACACCCATCCCACCCCTACACCTTAAAGTATAAATTCTGCATTAATTTATGTCCAGTTTAAAGTTCCGCAGTTACAATATATTAGATGGTAACCATGCAGTCACCAAGATCTCTGTTCCTTTACCAGTGCCCTTTACATGTTGGAGGTTGTGGTCAGCATGTCACATATACCATCACCCTATCTTCAGGAAGATGAATTTGCAAATTTGTAACGTTTCTTTTAGCTTTTGCAGAAGTAGACTCAAAAAGCAGTGAGCCAAAAAGCTAAGAGTATGGTCATTAATGGATCTACAGAAGACGACATTTCAGTGCAGACGTAAAAAAGTTGATTTATTTAATTGGTATCGACCAAAGTATACTAATCCTAACATTTAGCAGTTGAGGCCAAACATATTTGCCTATTGCCATTTTATTCAGATTTTGCTGCTTCAGGAAACATTGCAAGCAAAGTTTTTACTTAGCAGCTATGTTAATCCAAGACTATTATTATTTATTAGCACTAATTTACCTATAAATACTACATACATTTCAGACTTCACCTTGTATTACCTCAAAATCTGCCCAGAGGGTTATGCTCAAAATAAAGGACTGTGCATGAAGTATCACTTTTCTTCTAAAGTTTTTATTTGAAAACTAGACAAATAGGTATGTAACAGTAAGGGGAAAAAAGTCATTAGTAAACAAGGACTTTTAAGAAACTGTGTAAGGAAGCATTCAGAAATGCCGCCGAGGTAGCATTTGTCTGCTACATACAGAATTTCTTCCTACTGTTTCTATCTATCCTAGAATGAGACACTTTGTTCCTATAGTGTTTAGCTAGTTTAGAAATTAAGAATTAAGCCACAACAAAGCACATATCTGGAAGAGGAGTGCTTTTCTACATGGAATTACTCAAACTCTACTATTGTTGAAATTCATGTCCTCCCTGGCTGATATTTTCTTTCAGTCAAACTGAAATGCTAATACAGATTTGTCCAGGCTTAACTATTTAGGAATCACTGGTATTACTCAGAATTATCATTGTTCTGTGAGCTAACGGACCTCATTTTCATTCCAACCTGTTCTCATAAACTTATATACTTTAAAGACGTAGACAATTCGTATCAATTCATGACAGTTGAGTTGCTCAGGCAGGCATGACAAATGCTTGTATAGAGAAAATTATGCAACAGCTTTCCAACATTAATTCTACTTCTCCTCCAAAGTAGTGTTTTCTTACCTTTTAAACCTACACTGAGCAGAGGAAAAAAGTCAGTACAGTGCCTTATTTATTCATAATGCAAAATATGCAAAATACCTGGCTTCCTGGGAATTCTACAAGCCACTTACTTTCTCATAAGGAACAAAGCAAGCTACTCATTGTTCTTTAATGGAAAACCCCAGGTTATTGATTTTTAAATCTGTTTTTAAGTGAGCTTAATGATTGGTAAAGGTGCTGGACTGATGGCCCTAGAGACTATTCTCAATCTATAGCATAGACAACATTCCAAGATCCTCCACTATGTTATAATTCTCAAGGGATTGGTCCTAAAAGGTTGAATCCACTAAGACTGTTATGAAAGCACTACCTACACTTCAATAAAGAATGTGTTTATTTAACAAAAGCAAAAATGCAACAAACAAATAATTAGGTTGCATTACTCTATGATACCAAAGTTTTAACCAGCACTATCAGACCTGTGTATTAGAATGTGTATGGAAACAGGAGCAGACTACAATGCAAAGATGACTGGGCATTTTGCACACAGCGTAATATTAGGTAAAGACATTTCTTCACAATGCAGGACGAACTGAAATGAGCCAGTGAGCATAGTAGTTACATAAGCCATTTCAGTTTCAGCACCTTCAGATCTTTTTAACTAACAGAAAATTACTACAACTATTAGAGCAAGGAAGTTCGAAGACAGAAATTTCATAGGTTGAAGGTTTTGGCAGTTTAAAACATAAAAATCTGTTAACTGATATTAAGCAAACATCCTTTTTCTTTTGAGCAATCTCAGTGTACTACCATGTAAAATTCATCCTCACAACAGCAAGAGCCAAAAAAAATCCACACATGGACTCAGACTTGCACAAATGCAGTTTAGTTTCTAACTAAATTAGACTTAAAAGCAGTAGAAAATAAAGACAAAGGGGCTTATTTTCATGCACACAGCTCCAAATGCAGTAAATGTAACACAGTAAAATATGATCAACTCATGAAATTAAGGAAAAAACCCAAGATGGAAAATAAATGCTTATCTCATTTAAAATCAAATCAAATAAGTAAGCAATTTTTTATTCTCTTACATTCCAGGATAAGGGCAAGATTAATGTATAAGAGTTAGGTTTATTGCATTCATTTAAAATAACATATGGTGGCAAAATCAGGTACTGAAGCTGTAAGAACTATTAGATAAGCAAAACCTCTAAATGAAAAATAGGACAAAGATGCAAGTGATCAAAGACAGTAGTATTTTATCACTTACCTCATGATGCAGCTCAGCTATCTGATCTTTCAGTTCTCTGATGTACTGGTTAGAATCAGATTTATTAAGCTGCCCTTGAATTTTTCCTTCTTCTTTCTGTTTTGGTTAAAAAAAGAATCTTATTCAAATTATTCACGGATATACTATACTAAAAAAAAAATAATCTTATTTTAACTGTCTGCATTTTTCTGTCTTGAACAGAAGCCTTCACAGACACCACCCAGCATTTTTCATCTGGCTGAAGTTACAGCATGTATCGAGGGATGTCAGTAGCTCAGACCAAGCTGACCTTCTCAATACTAACCATAATATGGGCAGGATTCTGTGGTGGAGCATGAAGAATTAATAAAGCTTCACACATGGAATTTGCATCCAATGTACATGTAGTTGCATGTGCAATTTAGTAAAGCATTCCTACAGAATACTATCAATATATGGAACATATCTTAGTGTATATCATTTTCACTAGTGTAAAGTTTTCACTTAGTAACAAGGAATTTCCCTTTGTCTTGAAGTGACAAGTAAACAAAACATTCTTTCTTTGCATTGTAGTACATGCACTGGGAAACATGACATATGACAAGCTTTTTCTCCCCTAGAAAAAAAAGTTGTTACACATAAAATATTGTGGTAATTATCGCATAGGAGTTCCGGAGAGCATAAGCGAAAAGAGGTATGTCCACTAGCACTAATACTGTGAGAGGTACAGATTAAAATTGGCAAGTAAAAAAAGCCAGAGATGAAGAGGGATGTAAGATTTCCCTCACAAACAGATGCAGCTCCTAAGTTTCAAGATGCCCAGGAAGGTGTCATCTGCACTTGAATGCCTGCAACACTAACTTTCAGCTTGTCTCTAAAGGGAATCTTAATGTGACTGAACCAAACTTGGCAGATCTGAGAGAAATAACCACCCTTGATGGCAAAGGCAGCCCATGTCTTCAGTTTGCTACTAGCAAGTTAAGAGCAGCATTGGTGGGTTTTGTTTTTTTGGTTGGTTTTTTTGTTTGTTTGTTTGGGTTTTTTTTCCAGTTGAGTAATTTCTGAAGCAGCCACCAGCTTTACAGGACAGAGCATCTTTATTTTATATACATCTTTACCTTGACTGTAAGTCCCGTACAACAAATATATTACAATTGTAATTAATGGGAATATCTGTTTTTTTCTATCTGTACCTCATTTTGCCGAAGTTTTAATTATACTTTTATTTAATATAAGAAATATATATTTAATATTTATAATAATATATAAAAATATATTTATATATGATAATATATATAATATAAGAAATATATATTAAATATAAGAAAGCAAACAGTTAATTTCAACAACAGACAAGTTCTAAGTCATTTGCAAACCAAATTTAAATACCTTTTAGAATGAAAGGTGTCAACTATTCTTTAAAATACAAGACAAAAAGCTTTAATGGAGAGGTTCTTTTCAAACATCCCTCTGAAATATCAACATCAGGACAGAATGTGTACCAGGACATTATGGGGAGGGGCAATATACCACCTTCCAAACCTTTTTGCTGCATGAAGAGAACAACCTTCAGCACTGTCAGTGTTGGCAATCTCAAAGCAGTTTCTCTAATTTCAGACTTTGTTTTTCTTGCAGTAAGGTATGCATTACAATATTACTTAAAAAATAACTTTGTCATATTCACTATTAATTCACAAAATCTGCAACATGAGAGGCAAAAGATGTGGTGCATCATTCTATATTGAACCTAGTTTCCAAGGCAACCTATGGCTCAAATTAACACAGAAATGATTAATATAAACAACATACTAATTGTTCTATCCTAAATAGGTTAACCCCCACCCCAAGCCATCATTTCTCTTTAGGATGACTATTGGTATTGGAGAAACCAAAACAGAAGCAACACAACCTGCAGACCAAAAATAATGCTGTCTACATCTGCATATAGAAAAAACCTCATTGCTGTAAGAAATTAAGATGCCCGACAATGACCTGATCATTCATGGTAGCAGAAATATATGGGCGAAACGCTTGTCTAAGTCATTTCCCTCCATTTGAAATCCTGACTTTTCCATTTAAGCCTCTTGTTCTATAGACTCCAAATTAGTATGTAACAATACACCATAGTATCAAAAAGCAAGAGTAAAGCAAGGTTTTACCATAAATAGAAGAAAGGTACTGTGGCCCTTTTGAAATGAAAGTGTAATAAACAGCTGAGCTTACATTCAAACGGGTGCACAAGATGACATGTAACAGGCATTCCCAAGTTAAGTCGGTAAAAACGAACAGCAGAAGTAATAAAATGTACTAGCTTAAGTTTGGCACTGCACAAATAGCTGAAAACTGTTAGTACATACCATATTGGGAGTTATACGCTATCATTATATTTAAGTGTTTTTATTGTTACTCCTTATTCCATAAATAACACTGTAAAGTTAATGCGCAGAATGATTTGACATGTAAATTTGATCATGGAAGGACTGATTCTAGCTCCAACGAGCTGTAGGTAAGGCATAACCGTGGCTTGCAAGATGCACATTATTAGTGAAGGGCAAATAACTTTCAGTTTTCTTTTCAGAACTTACAGATTTTTTTAGAGCTGAAAATTCACAAAAAATACTTTTAGCACAAATAAGGAACCCTGCAATGTCATTTTCTACAAACATACTTTTCAAAGAAATGTCATGCTGTAACTTCCTCTTGCAACATTCAAAACACTAGAGGTCAGAAGCCGATCCTTTTAACTGGCTGCAACAGAAATCAGTTATTTCTAGCTAACTAAATAAGCCCATGTTCTGTAAGCTATAAATTCTGTCTACAGTGGGTAAATTGCAAGGATGATGTAAGAAGCTTTAGGACAAGGTATTAGAGCCTTCTTCATAGCTGCTGTTCATCTCTCTGAGCAACAGCAAAGATATATTCAACTTTTTTTTTTTAAATAAGCCAAATTGATCATGACATTAATTTAGTTATTTAAAAGACATTAATGCAGGTGCATGCAGTAGCAAACCACTTGAAAACATGCAGGTGTCAGACACTATAGCATTAAAATATTTTTTAATTCTTACAAAAATAATCTAATTTATAGAATAAATAAGTATACATCTAAAAGCTTACACTTTTCAAATGAGCCAAAACATTTACTTTATAAAGAGTAGTTTTATCTGTCAGATTATGACTTTTAAGTTCAGGGACAGGGAATTGGCTAGGTTGCAAGTGACATGAAAGTGGGACAGAAATTGAAAAGTGAAGATACAACAGGTACTGAATGGAACTGAAACAAAAGGTAAGGACCTTAAACAATAACACTGATGGATTCTTGCAGATTTCATCTTCAGCCCACTATCTGCAGGATATGGCTGTTGCATTTATTCAGTCAGTTGATGTACTGACAGGGCAACTGAAGATAATAATCTTCCAGGAATAACTACTAGCCCTCTGTCATTCATTTGCCTCTCTGGAGAGGCATGTTTTCCATTCTGCCTGTTCTACTGCTGCCATCCTTCATTTTGCTTCCAGGTATCATAACCCTCGAGAGAACAGATTAATTCATTTCTCCTGAGGGTCCAACAGTATATTAAAAGGTTTCTACGCTCAGGCAGGAAGAAATCTGTCTTGTATGGATTAAGTCTTGTCTGGCCTCAGCCACCTCAGCCTGAAAACCAGTTAGGGCAGATGTAAGCTCAACTACTGAGACTGAAGGATAACTTGAGTTGGGGAAGAGAGGGCTACTTGCCCAAAGGACAGAAGCCTACACTCTCCATGGTCTAACCCCAGCAGCCAGGGAGGCCGGAGCCCACATTCAGGACATTCATGATATCCTTTCTTGTCAATCTTAATATTATTATTATTACTACTAGTTTCCTGCTTCAAGTGTTGATCCATTCAGATGTGCGGGAAAACACATGCTATCAGGATGGACTGATTTTGCAAGTCTTTCACAGCTAAAACAAATTAATCTCAACCCTTTTAAATGGTAAGAGTCCTCAAGAACAAAGGATGTAAAACCTATCTTCTGTAAAACCACCAAGAAAAAAAGGGAGCTGACTGCCCTGCTCAAGGCTCTTCTATATTCTGAATCTGGCTTTAACTTTCAATTTTTTAAAATACCTAAAATCTCATGGTTTCTGGTTCCATTAAATTATGTTTTCATATGCTCTGGCTACAAACTGGTCCAGCTTCCTCACAAGTTACTAGGCAGCCCCATTGACATAAGAAAAATTAAATTACTTTCACGTAGCTTGAGTTAATTTATTGAA